ATTTGGCTTTTTTTTCGAGGATGGGAAGGTATAAAGATGGGGTCGGTGATGGGTGACGTGATGATGGTGTGAGGCAAGAAGATGAACATTCCCATCAGTGAGGCAGAATCACCACACACACACATTATCCATGGGTTGTGATCAAGGTCATTATATTGGTGCTTGAGTGGTGTTATAATGAAGCAACTTGGCAGCGTCCTCCTCATCCTCCTTAACGAACGCTGCCAGACTCCAGCTTCTCATTAAACATGCACGGGAGATTAGGGTGATGGTGGTAGTAGTGGTGGTGGTGGTAGTAGTGGTGATGGTGGTAGTAGTGGTGGTGGTGGTAGTAGTGGTGATGGTGGTAGTAGTGGTGATGGTGGTAGTAGTGGTGGTGGAGGTAATGGTGGTGGATGCGACACATTCTTGGCACATCTTCCTTTATTATTTGATAACACCATCGTCATTATTATTATTATTATTCTCTAATGCACATCTTTTCATCATTATTTTAAGGTACATCTCTATCACCCTTATTGTCTGCCACACCTCATCATTATTATTTACCACATCTCCCCCTCATTATTATCTTTTCGCACATCATCTTCATTATTCTCAAACACATCTTCCGTCATCATCATCACTACCACGTGTTATCAATCGAGTTTCCAATCATTAGTTTTGTGTGTTAATCTTCAGCCTATGTACTGTATACTCCGTTTAAAGAGGTGACCCCCCGCGTATATGGTCCAGTCAGTCACCCACGGTTTAATAGTTTCGATAGACGCGATGTTTGGGTTGTAGAAATTCGTGGGGTATAACAGGTGATTTGTTTTTTCGACCGGAAGTTGTAATGGAGAAGTGAAGCATTCCGGTTACTACAACAGTGTGGGGGGAGGGGGTCAGTGTATTGTGGGTGTTGCCGACCGTTGGTGCATCAGATCAAGTATATTTGTGCATATTGTTGATTCTGAGTAGCGCGTGTGGGTGTGATGTGGGTGTTGATGATTTTCTGTGACGTTGAGTGTTACAGATGAGGTGTGGAGGGTGTAGGTGTTACTGTGTGGGGGTGGGGACGGGTGTGGAGGGTGGGGGGGGCACACTCGGTCCTCCCCTCCATCTTAACCCCGGGTTGGACCTCCTCCCCTCGCTCTGCTTAATGAAGCTTCCATGGTGCTCCGAGGGGAGACGGGGACTCAGCTCTGAGGGAATAACTTTGAGGTAGGTGGTTGTGAGGGGTGAGGGAGGGACGGTGAGGAGTGTTGAGTAGTGGGGAAAGGACAAGGAGCAATGAGGGAGGGTATTGAACAGTGAGGGGGGTTATTTTCACTGGTGTTGAGGACTTGAGTGAAGATGGGAATTGTGAATAGTGAGGGGAGGGGGGCTGGATGGTGAGGGAAAGGGGAATCATAAAAAATATGAGTAAAGAGGGGGAGGGGAGGCTACTGACCAGGGGGGGGGGTGTGGACGCTAAGAAGGGGACTGGTGTTGTGAGGGGAGGGTGATAATCGTTTTAGAGAAGATGGGCGAGCTGAGAAGATGTTGTGGTCCGGTGGTCAGTGTTTCTTACAAGTGCTTGACACAAAGACCTGCCCCAACCAGCCTCCCTGACCCTTGGTGGCCCAGATGCTCTTAAAGACCTCCCAGTTGACCTCACACAACTCACAAGGGGTGTTAGAAGTAATTGACGTCGTAAAACCAGATTGAATGCCAGATTTTGGTGGGTGATTGATAGAGGTGGGGTGGGTGGTAGGGACGTCTGGGGAGTATCCTGTGTGTGTGTGTTCGGTCCCTCGTTCGCGCGTCATTGTCGACTTCTCGTGAAATCTGACAACGCGTGACTAAGAGGCCTTAATTACACCCCAGCTAACTGTCATCATCCTCTCCGGGGCTTCCTCCTCTGCTCGTCAACTGTGCACGGCTGGTTAGGAGATTGGAAGGAAGATGTTTTAATCAACGTATCGAGTATGGAAAAAAATGGGAAGAATTTCTAAAGAGTGGATTGACGAAAGCATAGACCACAAAAAGCCTTGAAATAAGAGGTAGACGAACTCGGGAACTGACCAGACAATCACTTAACACTTCTTGCGGGTTACCACACTCACTCAAACCAAAATTACATTCGTTAAGGTTGCAGCGCGTTGCAAGTCGCTGTTTCTCCCCCTTTGAATGAGTCACTCCGCTCTCCACCATTACCCGAGGGTGGTGGTGGGTGGGTGGTATCGGTCGAGGAGGGGACTGGGCGAGGGGACGTGCCATCTCATAAAGGCGTTCTCACATGGTTTGAGGGGAAAATAGTGCCCTTGTCGGCCGTGGTGGTTGTTAATTACTCCCCGGTGCGTGTGTCTGCTGCTCCTCGATGGCCAACTAATTGAAGATGATGTTGGTAGAGTGATGTTGCCGGGAGGGGCGGGCGAGGCGTGGTCACGGCGTGGGTGGGCGAGATGGGCTGTAACACGGGCTCACTAGATAGACTAGGTTATAGTGTGTGTCCATTTCTACACGAGGAAGCCAGGAACCCAGCCATATGTCATCGTATCTCAGGTCGAACCTCGTGAAGTTTGGTTAGTTTAGAACTTACACGAATTACATCAACACAACGTCTCCAAGTCCACTCTAATTTATATGTATATGTATGTGTGTATATATATGTGTATGTGTATATATATATATATATATATATATATATATATATATATATATATGTATTTGTATATATTTATGTATATATATATATATATATATATATATATATATATATATATATATATATATATATATATATATATATATATATATATATATATATATATATATATATATATATATATATATATATATATATATGTGTGTGTGTATATGTGTACATATGTATGTATGTATAGGTATGTGTATATGTATGTATAAATAAATAAAAATAATAATAAATAATAAAATTAATAAACATTGAAGTGATAACCTTGGTAACATTATGAGATGTTCTTATTACCACCATGCTATTGTACTATTCCAGATAATACTAAATGTTACATAGTACTTCCTTGAGATAAATGTATAGTATATATCAGGTGCCTAAAAGAGAGCTCAGGTTCTCAACTGGCTCAGCCATGTTAATATTGTTATTATTATCCACTTTGCATCTGTGTTTTTCTGGCTAAATAAACTGTTACAATTCAATTCAAGTTTTACAAGATTGGTGTATTTAATAATAATAATAGTAATAAACGGTTTATTAATAGAGTTGCAGCCGGTGACTGAAAATATACAGACTTACATTTGATTTAGACATAATGATATAATATGCATTGAATACATTTACAGGGCTGTACAGTACATAAATCAGGAGTTGTTTATTATTTTAACAATAGATGGGATGGTGCTGTTCTTATATCTATCAGTGCGGGCTCTTATGGGCTGAATTTTGTCATAGTGGCTGACTGCGCGAGTTGGGTGGGGGGCTGCAGGAGGTGGCGATGACGAGGGTGGTGCAGTAGTGTGTGTGTGTGTGTGTATGTGTGTGGGTGTGGTAGTGTGTGGGTGTGGTAGTGTGTGTGTGTGTGTTAATATCACTACCGTGGATTTTATTTTTATATTTCGTTAATACAAAAATAGTTGAACATATATATGAAGTCAAGACACATAAATACATACACAATTAAATTCAACCTTTGTGACATACGTACATACATACATACATACATACATACATACATAAATGGTTGTGTAACACGGCAGCCAGCCAACGTGAGGGAGGTACTTGGTTGGATTGGTAGCTTGAGTGATAAATTGTCTGTAGGTGATAAAGTATCTCTTGTCAGCTCAGGTTAAGATCTTTGTTGTGTAACCCGACGTCCTGCTGGGTGTCCTAAGTGTCTTGCTGGGTGTCCTGCTTGGGTTGTCCTGCTGGGCGTGTCCTGCCAAGAGTGGTGTTTGGGACCTGCACATCCTAATGGTGAAGGGTGTCAGCGCTGCAGGGGGTGTGAAGGTGGGGGGTGTTGTTCCATTGTTTGTATTGGAGGGGGGGTAGTCGTGCTGAGGGAAGCGAGAGGGGTGGCTTTTATTCCCCTGTCTTGCTGGGGGAGGGTGATTTTTTCCTATTTCTTGCTGGGAGGCTGGAGGGCTTTTATCCCCCCCTCTCGCTGACGGGGGAGCGTCATGCTGGGGGAGAGAGGGGTTCACGTTGGTAATGTTGATGACTGACGAGACAATGGCAGGGAGTGTACACCTGCAGGGTGATGGTGACTCTCCCTCTCTCCCTCTCCCTCTCTCCCTCTCTCTTCTTCCATGTCTTCTTCCATTTCTGTCTTTCCCCTCTTTCTCTGTCCCGCTTCCTTCTTGTCTTCCCTCATTTCGTAGAGAAGTCAGTTTCCAGTGCTGGCGTCTCAGAAAGGAGGTGGTTGGGGGGGCGGGGTGTAGGTGTATTGGTCCTCTGTCTTGGTATTCTCCTTTCTCTTGTCATTGACTGGCGGCAGAGCGTTGTATCTGGTCACTGTTATTTTTTACCGAGGGAGCGTGTTGGCGGTGGTCTAGATCACAGCTTCAGGTGGTACTTGGCTTTTGGTGGTGCGTGAAGGTGGTTTGTTTCTAACTGCTGCAGTGTATGTTGAAGTGTGGCAAGTTTTTTTTTTCGAGACCTTATTTTATTTGGTAATATTTCCGTCCTGAGTGATCTATATTTCACCTTGTGAGTGCTCCTCGTGTCTTTTAATTGATCAATGTATTTTTAGTGCTTTGATGATAGAAAACGGAACCGGAAAGTATTATTGACATAAATAGAGAAAAGATAAACATTGCAAACATTGTGTGTGAATGAATAGTGTAGAAAATAAGGAAAATGGGTGTCGAACAGTGGAAACAAAAGCCAACCAGGTAATTTGTTCTATTATGTCTAAAAACAAGATAGCCCCTTATATATCTGTGAAAAATACGGTTTCCCCGATTTTGGATGTCATATATTTTTTCTTGGCTTGTTTAAGTACGTTATTTTATATTAAATTATTGTTCTTTTTGTCTTACAGAACGAGCGGGACGTCAAACTTGGCAAGATCCTCACTAAGGGGTCCTGCAAGTCAGCCCGCTCACAACGCCTCAACTAATCACGTTCACGCATCGCCTTACCATGCTCCTGCACCCACCCCCAAGCATAAGGATTCCATGCTCGACAAATTCAAGCTCTTCAACCACAAAGAAAAAGATGGCAGGAACAAAACTACGAGTAAGAGTGAGAATCAATATATATTTTTTAATATTGATGGTGTTCAGTATTCTGTCCTTAGTTTAGTAGTTGTCTTTGTTGTCAGTTCATGATTACGTAAGTTGGATAATAGCATGTTTTTATTGTTTGTATAATTTATATATATATTTTTTTGTTTAGCTTTCTATTAGTTTATAAATTTATTAATTTATCGGGTGATAGTTTTAATTTTTGAAAAAGTTTTTGAATGGTCTTTATTATTATTATTTCGGAACAGTCAAACCCACAATAAAAAATCAGTTTAAAACAAGATTATCCAGACACAAGATTCACGTTGGAGATACTCTGCAAATATTACTTTTTGTTGGGGTTGGCAGGAGTAAAGTGTTGGCGGCAAATGCTAGAATTGATATTTTAGCGGCGTGTCCCGTTATGAGGGTGACACACACCGTCATGCTGTAGTTTGGCCTGATGGAAGTCCACTGTGGTGGGTGGTAGTGGTGCATTGTGGTTGATAGTGGTGGTGGTGGTCACATGTGGTGATGGGGCTCCAGTGGTTCATGATTGATTGTGATGTGTGCTGTGGTGGTGATAGTGGTGTGGGATACTGACTGGCTACACCAGACAAAGACTCACGGAGACAAATATCCACACTTGGGCCAACGCATTCTCGTCACGCAGTCTCCATTTAGTGCTACTGTAAGACAAGGCCCTGAGGAGATGAATGTTACAGTTCAATAGTGATGGAATGTAGGTCTCTCTCTCGTGAGTCGTCTATGATAACTTCCCTCATTATTCTACTCTCCTAATATTCTCCACTCCCATTCATTGCCGTCCGTGTTATAAATTGGAACTAGAGAAACAGATGAGAAAAGTCTCACACACACACACACACACACACACACACACACACACACACACACACACCTACCTGTGGCCTTCCAGCAGGTGTCAATCTTTCGTTCTCCCATAGGAGGATTTATGGTGTTTCCGAAATCTGTTTTATCGCTGGTGTAAATGATAATTTGATTTATGGAATGAAGTATTTGTTGGTGTGTGTGTGTGTGTGTGTGTGTGTGTGTGTGTGTGTGTGTGTGTGTGTGTGTGTGTGTGAGAAGTACAAAAGTGTGTTGGCATGTGACTCCTGGATAACAAGTCAACATAGTTTGACCTGTTTCGTTTGTATTGGTAGTGAAGTTGTCCAGCCGTAACCTCGTATTCTTTTCCCCATGTCTTGTAATGCGCGTTTTATGTGAGCTATAAAACTAAATAACCATTGACTGGAACTTACCCTCCGTAACCACAAAATGATTCAGTCTACCCTCTTAAACCTAGTTATATTTACGTTTTCTTTGATGATTTTTTTGTAGTATTTTCTGTCCATAAATGCGTATTGTATGAATGTTTAAACAGTAAATTAAAAGTTTTAATTTTCTTTATTTTTTATTTATTGCAGTTTATGGAGATGATATAGGTAAGTGATAATGGTCGTAACTACTGTAGCTTTGATGCTTGGATTGTATTATACGTATTTTTTAAAGTAATATTTTGGGCATTTCCACAATCCCCCCAACACAGTGACTCCCAACCTGCTACCGCTTCCACCTTTATTAGGCCAGGTCCAGCCATTACCTAGAGCATCACCCTCACCACCATTTACCCTTCCCTTTCCATCATCACCATCAATACTGCTTAACCTCACCACCATCACCACAACTGCTTAACCCCACCATCACCACTCCCTCGCCACCACAATACTCCAGATTAACCACCATCACCACCTCCAACATTCTCACCCCCCTCCCCCCGCCTCACCCTTCTTCACGCTCCATCCCTCCCCCACAACCTACACGGTTCTTACCTTCTCAAACTGTCGCAACACTGCCGCCACATTCTACCTCACCACCACAGTACATGAACCACCACCTTCTCCAATAGTGTCACAACCCCCTCCCTCCCTCCTTCACAACCCTCTCCCTCCCTCCCTCCTTCACAACCCTCTCTCCTCCCTCCTCCTTCACAACCCCTCCCTCCCTCCTTCTCCCTCCTCCTCCCTCCTTGCAGCCCCCTCCCTCCCTCCTTCACAACCCTCTCCTCCCTCCCTCCTTCTAACTCCCTCCCTCCCTCCTTCACAACCCCCTCCCTCCTCCCTCCTTCTCCTCCCTCCCTCCTTCCTCCTCCCTCCCTCCCTCCTTCCACAACCCCTCCCTCCCTCCTTCACAACCCTCTCCTCCCTCCATCCTTCACAACCTCCCTCCCTCCTTCCACAACCCTCTCCCTCCCTCCCTCCTTCACAACCCCCTCCCTCCATCACAACCTACACTACCTCCATCGTCGTGTTCTCTTCGCCAATGACTTGACGGAACACCACCATCTCCTCCCCCTTCAGGTAGTAGCGGTGTGAGCAAGAGGACAAGTAGCAGCAGTGGGTTCAGCTCGGCCAGGTCTGAGCGTTCCGACTCTTCCACCAGCGTCTGTTCTGACGCCAAGCCTCCTCCACTACCGCCACACCAAAGGTCAGTGCCACTGCCTCCTCCTCCTTGCACCCTCCCTCACTGACTGGCACCACTCCGCCTTACCAGTGCCACCCTCTCTCTCTCGTCTCCTTCCCTCGCTCCACACTTGCTTTTCACGCCTAATGCCTTTATTTGAATGTGTGTGTGTGAGAGAGAAAATTGTCTATATGATATGAACATCTCTTAATTGTCATAGTGTGTGCAGGGGGGAGGGGGCTCATGAAGTACGTCTCTTTGTTCATTTGACTCTTGCGTCACAAACGTGTGTCTGGTGTTTGTTGTGGATATCATTTCCACGTATATGTTGGAGTCCTTTGATGATCTAAGTGCTTCTCAAGTCACGTTATTTCTTTCATAGTCGAGTGTTTTAAAGGTCCTCTTAGACTCAACTGCGTCTCAGGTCACGGTCAGATGGGTCGTAGCGCCATGAGTTAATGGTCGTTGCGTCGCGTGGGTGGATTGGTTGTAGTATCGTGTTGACTAAAAAGATGATTGGAAAATATAATATACAGTAAAGCCACACAACGGTATATACTGTATAAACGTTGGGGAGTAAGACGAGGCGAAACAACGATGTCATAGTTACCAGAAAACAACTGGTCATGTTTACATCATCCTTCAGAGAACATGACTTAGGATTGGTTGTCTTGATCCCGACCTTTTGTTTTTGTTACATTTTATTCCTTTGCACATCTAGGTAGTACAGTATTTGTTTTGATTCTCCGTTCGTATTTTCTCTTCGTAAAAATATTGACATGTTTATTAATGGATGTGAACATTATTTTTTCTCGATTTAGAATGTTTTTGTTTTTGTTTTTTGGTTTAGCAGACCCACAAATAATTTGTATTGGAGGAAAAAATCATAATTCTTATCGAAACGCGGAATAATTTTTTAATGGTATTTGAAACGCACATATTTTAAAACAATTGGGACCTTTTTCATTGATATAAAATAAATGAAATGAAAAACATGCGGGATTTTTTTTGTGATATATTGTGTGTGTCCGGGGAGGGGGGTGTTTGAACCGCTACTTCCGGTTATTACAAGAAGTGGTGTTAGTTCCTCCCCTCGCTGCCGCCGCCGCCGTCTTGTCGCTGGTCTCTTCCTTTTGCACAAGGAAGTGGTTAAATTTTTTTTACGTTTTTTTCTAATATCTCGTTTATTAGTGATCCTATTAGAAAAAGTAAAATTTCCCGATATTAAGTGAATATATATATATATATACACTGTACAGTACAGTACTATTAAATTCACCGTTTATTAGTGGTACTGGTAAATCATTCTTAAATTTACTGTTTGAGTGATTTATAAGCGGAAAAATATACACTATTGTACTGTTAAAATCTTTTTTAGTGGCAATTATTAAAAAAATAATAAAATTTACTTGTAAGTAACATTCAAGTAATTTTGGTGTTTAGTTATTTCCCGTCTATTTGTCACATTTATAAACAAAGAAATTTAATGTAAATTTTAAGGGATTTCCTGTATTCTGGTGTCATTTAGAAACAAAGGAAATGATATTTTTTATGGTTTTCCGTTTACTTGTGCCACCAACTTGAACATTCTTAGCAATTGTACCAGATTTTTTTTTTTACTGAAATAGAAATAATTGTACAAAAAACAATTATTGTCGCCAAAATAACAGTTAAGATGATTCCGGTAGTAATGATAATGCTACTAACAATAACATTTAAATAATTCTAATAACTCTAATAGCAGTTGAAATAATCCAGAGTATTTGGGTGAAAAAATGAGGTAAGGTTATTGTGATGGATGAACCAGGATGACCAGTTATACACTGTCATCCACGTCGGCTCTCAGCGTGCTGACACCTGACGTGAGGCCAGAGCTGGTGCGGTGACGGCCAGCTGTAGCCTCACGTGTAAGTGCCAAGTCATGCTCAGATCGGAAACTCACACAAAGACTCGTTTCAGTGACTTACCGTCGTACACTAAACGAACGAACGGACTGACGGACGTGTGTGCGTGTGTCTGTGCGCGTGCGTGCGTGCATGTGTGTGTGTGTGTGTGTGTGTGTGTGTGTGTGTGTGTGTGTGTGTGTGTGTGTCCAGCTAACATTAATTACACCTGTGATTGTACATATACTGACAACTCACTGTATATATAAAGTTTGTTGCGTATACCTGCACACACACGAGCTTACCCCAACATGTATGTGTCGCTGGCCTTGTGTACACCCATTACTGACGTGTGTTGTGGTGTGGGTGTGTTGCACTAACGTGCCTGTGTACGTACAGCTTGCCAGTGAGCACGAGCAGCAGCAGTAGTGACCAGACGAGCCACACTGACGCCCAGACGGGGGTCGCCCCGCCTTCAACCAAGCCACAGGGACTCCGCGGCATCAGGTACACCCGTCACCTGTCCTTCCTCACCTTTGTTGCTTCACCTCTGGGTTGTCTTAGATGACAGAGTCGTCGGCTGGTGGATAATATTCCTGCATGCTGAGTGTCCTAAGACTTAAGGTGATGCTGTGGATTTGTTGCTCCAAACATTGAGGTAAACTGAGGAATGTAAAAGTAATATGTTCTGTCATCTTTTCCAGGTCAAAGTTTTCCAAGTCTAGCGGTAAGGAAGGGAAGGAATCCCCCAAGTCCTCGCGGAAGGATAAAGAGCGTGAGGAGTCGCGAGGGTCACCGCGGGGAGGTCACAAGGCCCACCGGGACCCCCGCTCTGAGCGTGGTGAGAGTAGGGAGAGGAGTGGCCGTGAAGAACGCGGGGGAAAGAAAAGCGAAAAGCTGACCCTGGAGCTGGATGGCGGGTCCCGCTCACGTCCTCAACACGTCCCGCCCCAAGCTGACCAAATTAAAGAGTCACGGGTGGCGGCGCTGGCCCCGCGCCCTGAGACCACAGGCCAGAATTCGGACCCCCAGCAGCCCCCAGCCCTCCCACCTAAGGAGAACTCCTACAGAGATTTCGGCCCAATTTCACAAGCAGAGTTACTCTCAGCCATGCAGCAGCAACAACAAAATCAGCAATCAGCAGAGTATGGGATAGCCTCTACTCCAGGAAGCCCTCTACTTCCAGGCACCCCTGGCACAGGTATCCCTAAACCTACAGCCCACGTGAAGGGCCAGACGAAAGCGGTGCCTCCAGAACGGACGGGACCAACGACTCCCACAGCCTCCCCCAACGTTAACACTCCCCACCAGACAAAAGACTACAACAAGATGGTTCGCCAAGGTGTGTCATCGCCCAAGGTGGGGAGTGGAGGCACTGGCTCCCCACGGCCAGCTGGCACACCTGCGGGCACTGACAACAACAATGCGCAAGAATCCCGGGATCCTAAGGGATCTCTGCCACGACAGAAGCAGCTGGGCAGACGGGAAGACTCTGCCACAGGGATCAGTGTTGCCCTGGTGAGCCCGATGCCCAACCCACGCGAGAAGGACCTGGTGACCCCCTCAGAGTCTGGGTCCAACATCAGCGAGTCGTCACAGAGCAACAGTGGGCACAGCAACAGCAACTCTTCTGGCAACTCTTCTGTAATCTATAAACCAACTAGCTCAGAGGACGGAAGTGTTACCGACTTCAAAACTCACATTAGGAAGGTAAACAACTGAGTATATCTTGTAACTTACTGTATAATAAAATTCATGAAGGAACGCTGTTGTAACGACATACTTAATATTCTGTTGTTTGTGAGATGATGTAGCTCATACACTCTTGCAATCTGCCTTAATTCTCACAGGTGGACGAGAAGCACGAAGGAGAAGACGGAGACGAAGTGATCCTCAATATAAAGCCGATGCAGCCGCTGGTTCGCGCGTCGCAGTATGGCTACATGCGTGGCCTGGGCCTCCAGACCCGCACTGTGCCTCCCTCACTACACGTCTCCAGGCTAGGTGTGTGTCTCTTCTTTGACGTTAGTCATCTTAACGACTAGAAATTTTCTTGTATTGCTTGTATTTCCTCTTTTCACTGTAAAGGCATTTATGTCTTTTGTCTCTTAATGTGAATCTTCCATTCATTTTAACCAATTCTTTACTTTTTTCTCTTTTAGTATATCCATTCCACCTTAGCTTTCTTCTGTTTGTTATATCGAGGAATAAAATATTGGCATGTTTTCAAGTGGATGACTTCTTACATCGGTGTATATTTTATTCCTATTAACGAGCAAGTTAATATGTTGTTCTAACCACAGGTCGTCTCTCCCCCACAGCCCTGCAGGACAACGCCAACACAGTGCCTCAGAAGGGAATGCGTCTCGGTCCTCACCTAAAACGACCCCCTGGATCCAACCAAGTGATCGATGCCGACTACAGCGACCTAGAGAGTGTTGAACTCACGAACGGTAAGTCATTAATGTTATATTAAATATTTGTATTTACCCCATTTATGTACAGTGTACTCTTTGAAAACGGACCTATTCTGCCTATTATGGCTTTGTCGTCATCACATTCACACTAAAAGGTTTGTCCATTAATACTGTTAATGTCTGTGAGCCTCCCTGCACCCACAACACTAGTCTGTGTCAGGGGTCAAGGTCAAATACGGGAATGTGCGGATTATGTATATCTCCTGACTTGTTTTGTTCTCGTCTCTTTCCTCTTAGCGTCACTTTTTGTCTTATTCTTTAACTTCATTCTGCCCTTCATTTCTTCTACTAACCTCTTAACACCTCCCCTTAAAAGTCTGAGTCCCACTTAATCTTAACAACGTCCACCTTGTATTGGTGCTTCAGGTGGTACGAGAAGTGGACGGACTCTCTGAACCCTTACACATCTGTAGGCGACACTTCAGCTGTGACCTGAATACATCCTCAGGCTCTTAACATTTTGAAACTCGTCTAATAATCTCTTCAGGATATTCAGTTTGTGATGTGTGTGGCACTCCGTCAAAGGGAATTGATAAAAGAGTTTTGAAAGGTAGTGGTATTTTTTACCAAGGTCAAATACTGCTTATTGAGGCAGTTTGTCAAGTTATAAATATAGTCTGATCGGTAGAATGTGTCACAAAAATGTAGACACCCATTCTTACAGATTTACGTGGAGATAGTGTGATTGCTTGCATTAAGTCACCAATATAGTCCTCACATGTTGGAGATCTCGCCCTCAAGAAGCCTTTACGCGAATCTCACAAAAATCTGTAAGACTGTGTATACATTTTTCTGAGACGCCATATACGAACCAGAAGTTTGAAATCAAGGTCAAGTTATAATGTCAGGCTTGGGATGTTTTGTGTCGGCGGTGAGTGAGGTGGGACGTGTAGTATAGCCTTATTGTAAAGTAGACTAATGGCAGATTATTGTACTGTTGAGCTGAAGTAATTGTGACTTGGATTATTTTTTTAACATAAAATTTACACGTTTTCTGAAGATCATGTTATTATGTGGACATTTATTGCAGGATTTTACCCATATTGCGTTTAATGTAAGAGAAATTAGTATGATAAAGTGCAAGTCAATTGAATCAAAATAAGCTTGAGTGCAGATAATGAAAAGTAACCTTGGAGTGTTTTAGAGGAAAGTGATGCTTCTCTCTGTATATTATCTTCGTATTTAGGAAATTAAGAAGTGAATGACAACGGTATTTTAGTCGTCATTCTTATCGGGTTATTCAATGTCGAGGATAATGGAGGGTGTTGTGTGCTACTAACATTCACAGTTAAAGAAAATTAAGATAACTGTTTTTGTCACTTATTAGACCCAATTTTGGGTTTCCTCTATTTAGCTTCTTAAAAATATAAACCATTTTCTCTTGTGATTATATATTTGTTCTTTTACGTTATTTCATATACAGTATTTATTAACTTTTATACTTTTATATATTTTTATTCTATTACACTGTTCTGTAATTATTAATGTGGTGTGGGCTCTTTTTGTGACCACGTATAATAATACCCACGACCTATTTCCTCACCTGCAGATAATTAGACATTGAATTAAACCTGTATCGGTGTTAATTTCAGTTCGGTTTTTATACGCTATAGTAATTTATTATAATGGCCTTTTTTCTCCACGGGTGAGTCATTAGTTGTGGAATTGGTGTTTGTAGATACTGGTTGTTAATGGTCGGGTGTTGTAATTATTGTTGTAGATTAACTTAATGGTAATGACCTTCTGTTTTCACCTGCAAATAATTAACTACAGAATTAATGTTGTTTTTTATGAACATTTTTCTGTATATTTTTATAATTATAATAACTTAGTTTTATCTTTCATCTATACTCTATACAATGTGACTGGTAGTTTGTATTTATTCAGTATGTTGATTATAGTAACTTCTTTCTGTTGATTCACTGTTGAAGATTTTACACAGTACAAACAATTATTGATATTATTATTATTATCATTGTTACGGTAATATTATTATTATAAAGAATGTTAATGATGGTAACTATTCTATTGTTTTGGTTTAATTGTTATTAAACATTATATATGTTAAAGGTAATAACTTGACTGTTGTTCTCCCCGGGGTGGTACAGGCTACATGTCGGACGGGGATGTGCTGCGTAATGTTGGGTACAAGTCGGGTAACTCGTCAGATCTGGACGGGTACCTGAGTGAGGGCGGCGCCTCGCTCTACGCCCACCGCCTCAACCAGCGCTTCAAGGAAGGCATGAGGCAGGTGCACGAGAGCATGAACAAAGTGCAGCACTTCATTCAAGACGACAGGTAAGTTGGGCACCTTTGCATGTCTTGGGTGTTATTTTTGTGTGTACGTATGTATGTATGTATGTGATTGTGTGCGTGGAAATGTTCTTGCTGTGTAGGAGCAGGAATAAGAATGATTTATGAATGGAAAGTGCAGCACGTTTGCATTTATAAAACAAAACAGTTTCTATTCTCTCCCGAAAAATACGTTTGTACATTATATAAAGCTTGAAACAAACATTTAGAAATGTAACCAGAAAAAGGTGTTGTTGGAATAATGAGTCGGTGAAAACATCTAACCAGTTGAGTTGTTTACTTGCAAGTTCTTTTAATTTGACGACTCATTTGTGTACGGACAATGATATCGTCCACTATACAACTATTTTTATATCATTTACATCAATGCTGCATTGAACACGATATTAAATATGCAACGAATCAACATTGAAAACATATTAATTTTATTTATAGATGAATTTACATTGATGATCGTCTTCAGTAATACTTTATTCACAAGTACAGCAGTATATTAGTTAGGGGTCATAATGTGTTTATTGTCGTCACGTGCAATATACGGTGTGTCAAAAGTTCAGTTTCAATGTTCACAAATACAATAATCTTAATTTAGCATGAATGATTTTAAAAGTAATTTATGATAACGTTTTATGATATGGAAGTGATAGCTTACCGGGTCTAGCTCTCAGTTCAGTATACATGGGTATAATCTATTGAGAAAATACACGGCCTTCTCACTCATTTGGCTGATTTGATCATAGAATCTGTGTGTAGAGCAGAAGCAATTTACACCATAGAGTACAAGCCAGACTTATCCTAAAATTGTTTGGTTAGTTTAGATAAATTAAGTCTAGTTGGGTCGTGTCTGCTGTCATAAGAAGTTACGTCATACATATCCGGTTGTCTGGTAAATAATGAGAGCCGATGACGTGTTTACTAGCCAGTCTCCATATTTTGTTAGTCCTCGTGTCATGTACATTCTCTGTGTTGTCAGGTGTGTGTGTGAGAGAAAACGGCCACCCACTATTGATTTGGGTGTGGGCCCGGTACACCACTCATGACTCATGGCTTCACAGTTTATATCTGATTTCTTTTAGCAGTGCAGCAGTCTTTTGTTTTTCTTGCTGACCAGACATGTTGGAGTCACTAGATTAGGTTTATATATAAGAAACGTGTAAATTGTCAGAAAACACGTTAGTAATTAAACTACAAATTTGAAAGATAAAACAAGACATAATGACTCGCCATACTCTGTTTAGAATTTTCTGGCATTTTTGTATAGGTATAATAGAGGGGGAGAGAAAAACGGTGGTTCAAACACAGCAGATAAAAGTTATATCATATTTACCAGTGTGATGTTTCTGTCAGGCAGCCATGAATATAAACATTTACGCCATGGTTTGAAAGCCATTAAACACATCTCATGCACCAACATAGGAAAGGTGGACGAGGGTGGTGTGTTACTGCATGTCAATGTGTTCGTCTGTCTGTCAAACTATTCCTCTCCCCCCAGCCTAGTGGAGAGGGACTGTGACCTGAACTTGGTGGGAATATTTCACAGGGAGACAGACGCCACCCTAGCATTGGGGGCAGATAGCTTTATCCTGGGAGGGCGGGGGAGGGTGTGCCCGGCTCCCCTGCTGTATACTGGTCATACAGGAGCGAATGCATGATTCAGTAATACTTAAGAGAGTAGTTTGGTCCTCCACACACACACACACACACACACACACACACACACACACACACACACACACACACACACACACACACACACACACACACATAGAGAGAATAACAAAACATATACCCGTGTTTAGGGTGACTGATACATTGATTGCCTTCAGTTGGCAATACACTGTTCACGCACCCTGTCATATGAGGTTATTGTTTGAAGTGCAAGGTTGTGGCGGAGGTGTGTCGTGTGCCTCCCATACTGCTGCACGAGTTCTGTATAGCGGATGAGTCTCTGTATATTGTGTATTTATGTGGGATCACCTGATGATTAGCCTCTAGACATGTTTCACCTTAAGATTAACCACCCCCATTGCTTAATCAAACCTAACCTAATGCTTACCTAACTTAACCTAACCTAACCCTTCCAGTTTCAGTAGCTTTAGGGTGTTAAATCATCAGGGAAATAATCTAGGGGCTAATCTTAAAGTGATCTAAATTTTTATGTATAAATTTAGTGGAAATATTATTTTTGCTTTTTCTTTGCTTTCTCCTCTTAGAAATGTTAATGAGTGCACTTTTAACTAGCAATAAGTTTTCTGTCACTTGTTCTTGAATAACATTTCCTCCTTCAAGTGCATGACTTATTGTTTTAATTATCTACCTTAAGTACTGTTGATTATATATTTATAACTTCTTCTTGTCTCTCTTTGTATTTTTACTTTCCACTCTTCCCATTTTCTGTCGTATAAAGCAGAAGTAATGGAACAGAAAACGAGATGGAGATTTCCTCTCTCTCTCCTTCCACCATTTCGTCAGAGCCTAGACACTTTGACGAAGACGACTATTTAGACGAAGATGTTAAAGATGAAGGAGAAGAAGAAGAGGAGGAGGATGATATATTTGGTGATGAGAACATACCAGCAGTAACTCCAACAGAGACGCGAGGCAGAAGGCGGTGAGTGTTGGAGGTAGCATGCGGGTGGACCCTCCCTCACCTCGTGTGTGTGTGTGTGTGTGGCCTCAACTAACCCGTGACTTTTACAGTTCCTCTCCGGTGTGTTGTGACTTTAGAGCTTAGATTTGCTTCTGTAAAGGCTTGTTATGAAGGTCAATAGATCGCCTTTATGAGGAGGATTTACCTGGCTAGTTATGAAATACCTGTACCATATGTTTTACTCAGAATGTCGAAGGTGTAAGGGACGGGTAAACGCTTATAGAATGCTTCCTATTCCAACCCAGAATTACAGTCCCGAACACAACTTGTCTCGAGTGAAGTGTCATATGAATTTATGTGACCAAAGCTTTTTGTAGCGAGTTTCCCCGAGTGTTGAGTGAAAAAAAAATATCACCATTTCTTATATACTTAGTGTAGACAGTAGCTAGTGAACTAATGTTTTTAACCCCACACCCCACACCTGCCTGGTTGTGGTGTTCTCATGGCTTGCCCGTGACCAGGGGTGTTAGGTGTGTGTGTGTGTGTGTGTGTTTTTTTTTTTTCTTGAGGTGTTAACTACACGGTTTCAGGTTACCAGCACGCAGGAGACAAGGGCAAAACCTGACACCAGTTTTACAGGCAACTTGTGCGTGTGGCGAGTTTAACAATACTGGTGATGGTGGGTAGTTTCTAGGGCGTCGTGTACTGTAAGGGATCTGTTGTGGGTAATAACTCCGCGTAATGTTTGGTGGTGTTAATGGTGCATATTGTGGTGTTAGAAGGTAACCATGAATGTAATAGACGTTTAGTAGGTGTTAAGTGACTCGGAGGTTGCAGGAACATCTACCTCCCAGACGTCAGATTTCTATTGTGAAGAAGTGAAAACGTGTGCGAGTTGCTGTGTGTGACGGCTCAGGGTAGAGGAAGTTTGGCCGGGCGGAGATCCTGCCTCCCTTAACAATGGTTACGCAACCCAGCCTTCAAGTTTTCTCATTAGTGCCAGAATTGGACGTCGAAATTATCGGAATGTAGAGTAACGACACGCGCACATACACACAACAAAAATGGTAGACTAGATTTAATAAACATTTACACACACAGTTAACTGATCTTCTGGTGTATTGGTCAGGTTTAAATAAAAATTGGTACTGTTGTTGTGGTCAGATTTGATAAAGTTATGAGCAAATTAATCACACACGAGTAAATACTGTTGCGTGTTCGGGTTCAACAAGCGATGAACAAGGTTTACCGAAAAATTGACTCATGGGCAATAAAGCTGACATCATCATAATTAGTTTTGGTGTTGTGATGGTAGTGTGTGTAGTGTGCCTCGGGCAGGTGAGGGGACTTATAGGTGTGTCACAACCCTGGTACTTGAGTGATGACGTCACGCTCACTAGGGTTGGCTGGAGGAGCCGTGGAAGGGGATTCCCCTCGCCTCACCTACGACGTACTGTACATTCATACCCCAGGGCCGCTCTGTCCCTCGCATATTCATTCCTCTGCACTTCAATTTCACCTAAATTAAAAAAATAATGGCTTTATATGCATTTTTGTGCAAATTCTCCATTCGCTCATTCATTAAATTAAGACTCGGGTCTGTAAGGATTGGCACCCCATTGGGAGTTTGCCCTAATCCTGGTGGTGAGGATTTGGTTAAATTTCGGGGCCTATTGGACCTGGGGCGTGTTTGAACTGGGGCCCATTTGACCACTCGTCAGCCTTGCATACTAACGCAGCACTAACGGCACTACTTCCCGCACTTCCAGGCCGTGTGTTTTTTCCTGATCCTACGACCATTAAGCTACTGTAGCGGTCGAGCAGTTCAGCTGTGTTGCAGGGCCTGATTTAGTGTTGTTATAAACGAACAAAGTAGCAGTTTAGCGATGTAACACAGTAGCAGTTTAGCGATGTAACACAGTAGCAGTTTAGCGATGTAACAAAGTAGCAGTTTAGCGATGTAACACAGTAGCAGTTTAGCGATGTAACACAGTAGCAGTTTAGCGATGTAACAAAGTAGCAGTTTACCGATGTAACGAAGTAACAGTTTAGCGATATAACAAAGTAGTAGTTTAGCTATAGAGTAGTTTAGCAGCAGAGATGTGATGTAACAGAGCAGAAGTTTAGCGACATAGCGATGTTTACCTGGAGGGAGGTATAAGCGAGGTAATGAACCCAGATGAAAGGTGAATGCTCCCTCCTCTTGTTGATGGTTCACGGTTCGCAGGTAACTACCAAACAACCTCCTCCTTGTTTGTTCCCACTTCTTCTCTTCCCCTTCCTCCTCCTCCCTTCTCCCTCCCCCCTCCTCCTTTCTCATCCCCTTCCTCCCCTTCTCCCCCGCCTCTTCTCCCCCCCACTCCCCCACTCCCGTCTGTTTACAAGCCTTGTTTATTGATTGGCTGGTGAGTAAGCAGTACTTTACGTGAAATGTCGTGTGCGTAGGGAGGGCCCTTTGTATAAACAGTCGTGTACGTAAATTTGTGTTATGTGCGTACTGTCGTGTACTTATATAGGGTCAATTATCAGAGTATTATATGCGTTTGTAAGTAAGGTTTCGTGTGCGTAGACCATTATCGTGTAAGTAAAGCCTCGTGTACTGTACGTAAACCTTATCGTGTGCGTAGATCATGTGTGTGTGTAAATGATTGTGTGTACACTGACAGTATAATGGATTCACTAACACATACCAAAGTGTCTTTTGTAAGTGCGTGTTACTGTATATGCGAAGTGTATGTACGGATGTGTGAATGTGTACGACAAGGTAGAGGGATGAGAGGGGAAGGGTCGAAACTTAACTGGAAAATAGAATGGGGGAGAGGAGGATAGGAAGGGGGACGGGAGGGGAGGAAGGGGAGAGGAGGATAGGAAGGGAGGGATGATGGTGAGATGCCTGGTAGAGAGGGAGGATAGGACTTTGTATGGGTCAGGTAATTTACAAACATTAAACATGGAAATTAAAAGCAACATTTTAAACACATTGTCGTGTCTGGGAGAGTTAAAAACAAAACTGTCCTTGGTGTAATACAAACCTGGTTTTTAGTAGAACATTGAGGTTTAACATGTTTTATCTTCGTTCTCTCCTTGGTGGTGATGTTATTGTTTTATGTTGAGTACGTCATAAGTCCCCCTCTCTCGTATCTTCAGTCCAGATTCTCATAACCTAACCTAACCTAACCTAACCTAACCTAACCTAACCTAACCTAAAGATTCGTACGAATTCCCCTCCTCCCTCCCTTCCCCCAGGTAGCGTTTAGGTGTTTAATTATTTAATCATTGGGTGAAATAAGTTGGGTGTGCCTAATCTTCAGGTGGTCCTCCAAGGTCGTGTTTTCACCCCTCGTGGAGGCTGTTGCTCTCGTCTGTCATGGGGTATGTAGGTCACTCTCTCCTTCACCCCTCCTGTCACCCCTACTGGACATCATTATCACCCCTCTGTCCTCTCCTCTACACCTACCTCCCTCCTCTCCTACCTTATCCCCTATTCTTATATCCGTCTCCTCGTTTCTACCTCCCCTCCCCATCACCCTCTCCCCCATCACCCTCTCCCCTCCCTTCACCATTGCTAGAGGGCCGCAATACACTCATTTGACGCGAGGGGGAATAAGGAAGTCATCCCTACTATCTCTCAATTTGTGGGCGTGTGGGGCGTGTGAATCGGATGGTGGTCGCGGCCGCCTGACGTGGGGGAGGGGAGGGGGGGTTATGAAGAGGGGGAACAGGGCGCGGTCATGACGTGGCTGCGAAGTGGGGGTGAGTGGGAATTTAGATGAGGGGGGAGGGAGAGGTGACCTGGAGTGGGCTTGGTTAGGAGTAGATAGGTGGAGTGGGTGAGAGAAAGAACAGAGTGGTGGGTGGGGGAGGTAAAGAGGGTGAATGAAGGAGGAGAAAGAGTGGGGAGAGAGGAATGGAGGTTAGGGGAGGGAGATGGTGGGGTGGGTAAGTGATGGGCTGAGGGTGGTGACATCGTGTACACTAGGTAACACCATTATGTACACTAAGTAACACCATCATGTACACTAGGTAACACCATCATGTACACTAGGTAACACCATCATGTACACTAGGTAACACCATCATGTACACTAACACCATCATGTACACTAAGTAACACCATGTACGCAAGAGAAACACAAATATGCTGTACTAACACCCCCTCCCCCCTCTCCAAATTCCCCACTAATTGGCCCAAACCCCCAACTTTAATAAACTCTTTAATGAGATCAACTTTCTGACACATCTTTTAACATCTTCTAATGAGTTTATGATCGTCATTTTGAACAAGGTTGACTGTCTTAAGTATAGGGAATCAAGCTGCACTTCTTGTAGTTATGTTTCCGGTAAAATAATGTTCGTTGGGTGAGCTGGACTGGAAGGACTTAAAGAATTCTTAAATTTCCACCCAAATGTTTTAGCTATAACCGAGTTTGGTTAGGTTAAGTTAGACTATCTGAAGGGTAGTAGGTTAGGTTTAAGTTGGAGTATGGGTAGGTTAGGTTAGGGAGGCTCCTTCCATCTAAGTATTTATTCATACTCACTAAACCAAGCCAGACATGACATCGGCGTGAATAAGAGGCTTCACACCAAGAAAGTAAGTGGCACGCTTCCTCCACTGACGCCACACTGTCAGGAATATGTAGCGAGGAACATGTTGAACAAGCCGTGTTGACCGGGACACTTGACAGCATCGTAAATATTGAAATTTGTAATGAAAGTTTTCTATATGACGTCACTGTATATTGGCTGATATATTAAAATGTTTCCATAATTTAGTTAATTTAAGTTCAATAAAGGTTTGATTCTTGACGGCAGGACATAGAGAAAATTTATTAACAATTACAAGTACATATTGATAATTAGTCAGTATTCAGAAATATGTTTAAGAGGCTAGTAGTTATGAAGAAAATAAAGTGTCCAGTGTTGTGGCAGTAACGGGGCAAATTAAAAACAAATGGCAAAGCTTTGATAAAAAAACAAGTTACTCTACGGACGCGCTGGTTACGTGCATGTTGATTGCACTG